GGGAAACCCACCCCGTCCACCCGCGGCCACACTCAGGGCGGCATGAGGCGGTGATAGGCGCGCCTCCGCCGCCCGGTTCGCCGGCGGCGGATCGGGTCCGAGTGGAGGTCGTCCTCCCGGGCCTTCTCCGCCGCCTCCTTCTGCGAGATTACTTCCTCGCAGAAGGTTGCGACCGCGGTAAAACAACTGTCGCTACCGGCCATGGAGCGTACTACGGCCGGTAGCGAGAGATCCACTCCGATGACTGCAGTGAGGGCCCGGCGCTGCGTCGCCCATGCGGGGCAGACCGCCAGCGTGTGCTGGGCCGAGTCCTCACTGCAGTCGCAGTGGTGGCAGGCGGGACTCAGTTCCCTCCTAGCGACCGAGTGCAGGTACTTTCCGAAGCAACCGTGCCCGGAAAGCACCTGCGTCAGCCGGAAGGTAAGGGTCCCGTGCTGCCGCCCTGCCCACTTGGCGGCACAGTTCTAACCTAACCTAACCCATAAGGAAAAGAAAAAACACAAAAAAAATAGACATATACATACATATATGTATATATATGAAATATATAATACATATACAGTAAAACCCGCTTAAGACGATTTCTTAGGGACCCTACCAAAAACGCGTCTTAAGCGAGAAAGCGTATTATGTGGGATAGGGAAAATAAAACGTACTACATATTATTTTGTATTATGTTCTAATTTTGGTATATATAGGTATTAACACAAACAGACAGAAAGATTTTGATGCATTAGTAATTAAAAGATTTTCCACATAATTCAACTTTTGCAGTGAGTCTTCGCTTTGTGGATCAAACAAAATCAAACCAAAATAAGATTTTTTTTAAATAACGTAATTATAATTACACAATTACGTATTTAATGTAATTTATAAATGTAAAATTTAATACCTATATATACTAAAATTAGAACATAATACAAAATAATATGTAGTACGTTTTAATTCAACTTTTGCAGTGAGTCTTCGCTTTGATCCAAAGAGGCTACATAGCGTCTTAAATAATTAACAGCTGATAATGCCTGGGCGTTTGACAAAACCGGAGTTGACTCATCTTCGTCTTCATCATTATCACTTAGGGCCTCGTTTTGTGTGTTATTCACATTCTCAATAAGATCTTTAATTGATTGAATTTCGTACGGTTCTACATTGTCATCAATGTAAGAATATCCAGGAAAACCCTGCAGTATCTCGGGTTCTTCTTCTTCCAACACGACGTCAACCACGTTATTTCTGAAAACTGCTTTCTTGAAACAATTTTGAATGGTATTTTTCTTCAATTTTTTCTCTATTCTTTAAAATGGCACCTAACGTAGAAACTGTTAAGTGAAGCTCAGCAGCTAACTGAGTTTGATTTGTTGTTTGTGATTTTTTATCGAAACCTTTCAATATTTCAATTTTTTCTTGAAGTGACTGACGATCGGCAAACGGCAAACGTGCGGGCGGGGGGTCTTTCTGGGGGCTCGCGAGCGCTCGGTTAGACCTCTCGGCTCGGGCTCGGCGTATTAAACGGGATGACGAATCGTATTAAGCGTTAAAAAATGTATGAAAATATGTCTCAAGTTGCAGGGACTGGCGTAAAGTGACGTATTATGCGAGAAATCGTGTTAAGCGTGATCGTCTTAAACGGGTTCTACTGTATTAATAACAAAGTAGATTATTATATGAGAATATCAAACAAACAAATCGCATTTACGACTTTCTGTAAGACAAATTTCTTAAATTTTAATAAGAGACATTATAATTCTTAGGTATAATGATATTCGGACTTTTGAAAATCGGAATAAAATATTTCGGAGTATTTGGGTGTTCCTTTTGTTGAATAATAAAAGTTAGCCTTGATACACGTCATAAATGATTATATGGCATTAAAAATCTTGACGAGTTTTAGACTATATTCTAAATGAGCAAATTATTAAAATATTTGTAAGAATCTATTTAAAAACTAGCTGGTACCCACCCGCGACTTCATTCGCGTGGAATTTGAAAAACGCTGACTTGGTGGGTTCGATTCCCGGACCGGGCAAAATTTTAAAGGGTTTTTCTGTTAGGAAAAATAGCCTAACTTACTCCTTATATAGACGAGCTACCTAGTAGTAAAATATTATCAAAATCGGTCCAGACGTTTAGAAGATTACAAACAGACACTTCAATTTTATTTATTTGTATAGATAAGTAAAGACAAAACGTCGAACATTTTTTCTCCTGTTTGTCAACCGATTTCTAGTAGCTATTGACGAGTTTAGTGTTATCAATACTAAAAATTCGATTATTTTAATTTCCTTTTAGGGTTTTAGTTTTATTTTTAATAATTTATCTAATTGTATTGTATATTGTAAATTTAATTGTAAGTCTTATCAAGTCATCAGCAATGATGAGACAAATCACTTACGCATGGCTGTGTGAGTGTACTACCACGCAAAGTAGAGAGGCCGGACACGCTCGGTCAATCACAATTTCACGGTCAAATAGACTGAGTTTAATTTGTCTATTGCGCGGTACTTTTATTAGTTCTATTTGTACGAGTATAAATAAATACAGTTCAACGAACAGAAGCTAAACTTCAACATTTATTAGATTTTACTGATTAGATCATTAGTTTTCTATAAAATATATTTTATTATTCTCTGAGGAGTTTGCTTTAATAGTGTTTTTAATAAGTGTCATGGTTCAAATCTGTATAAAGTTTGTCTTAGAAGCATTTGATAATTTTATTTTTCAAAGTCAGTTTTCATTATAGTGAGGTTCATAAAATCATATACTTGGGCCTTCTGAAGTAATGTTACTAAAACTAATCAACCATTAGTTACCATCAGTGATTATTTTAAATTTCAATTCCTAAAATTATTCAAAACTTGTGATTAATAAAGCAGAGCCCAATATCAGCCAGTGGACAATCGGTTCCAGATGTTAATAAGTAACATTATTAATAACCTCAGACATCTACTCCCAAACTAGGCAGAGCCTATGCTAAGGTAACCAGACTGCTGATAAACATACTTATATATTTCTAAATATATACGTTTTATAGATAAATTACACTTAGGCACAGAAGAAATAATTGTGGTCATCCCACAGTTATTTGTTCTGGGTGGGAATCGAACGACCTCTGGCTTAGCTGTCAGGATCACTCACGACTAGACCAACAGGCCAGTCAATATATACATAATATAAACATCGTTAATTTTAACTACGGGAGTGATTTATTTTATCAAAAAGCTAATCATTTGGTCACCATAGTGTTCAATACTAATTAAATGTGCACCTATGCCTACTAGGCCGCCCATCCATAGGTAACATTAATCTATGTTATAGTAGATCATTTAGATGGAAATTATACAGTACAAACGATCTTTTAAACTATAAAACATGGCGGTAACTAGGTCCTGAATGAATTACAAAGACGTTGTAATAATCGTCGTGAGTCACACGTGTGTTGTGTTATTATTGACGCGCTTGAGTGCTTATGTATAGGACAACAGTGTTTAGAGGGGTAAGTTATCACCTGGCAGTCGTGTTGATCGTGGTATGAGCTAACGAGTTGACTGACATACTCCCAGACTTCGCCGGGCGCAGTCCAAGCTGACGGCGTATTCGCCGTGTGCCGCATCATGCCCTCATTACAGCTAGCAGCCAAATTTCTTACAGCACTAAAAATCTCAACTGGCACTTTACTCACACACACACTGTTCGTAACGCACTAGTTACAGTTACGCGGTGAGTTCTCGACGCTCACGTCCACTAGCGTTGACGAGCTATTTATATTGTTTTATCCTCAATCACGCGCAACTAGGTCGCAATCTACATCATACACGCTGTAGCAGATTTACGTCGAGCACTAATCTAAGCATACCTTATTGTAAATAAACAATGATAATTATAATTTTGGTTTTTTGGTCTCAGAAAGATCACAATATTAACATGAACCTGATAATATCAGAACTTCCTTTGAATATGTACGAAGACACGTGATTCAATATAATAATTTTTTAATTAAATCAATGTAAATCAATGCTTCAAATGCTACATGTACTGCAATAATCTTGTAATGTAAAAGTAAATTTGCAAAAAAAAAATTAAGTAAAGAAAGCACAGTTCCTTTTAGCTTTTATGCTAGAAAAGAATCTTATCTTAAGAATACAGAAGATCATAATTATATAGGACTATATATATATGCTCTGTTTGTTAGCTGCATTGGAGAAATTAATTACAAGTCTAAGTCCCAGCTAGACCTTTACAGGTAACCGATTACCATAAGTGAGTTTCTGCTCGTTGGCTGATTGTCAGAGGTTATATTTTTATAATTAATGGTCTAAAAATAATAAAAGGTCCGATATGATTAGCGCATCGACGCGCAATCACAGAACGAATTCATCGGCAACGCGCGAACGCGAGTGATAACAGACGACCTTGAAACTTGCTCAACGTTAGATAGGGGAAATTCGGCAAGCGCCCCCGCGTCGCGCCGACTCGCTCTCACACACGCTTATCGCACACACTGTTTGTTTTGCATGAAATTAGTGTCTCGGCCCACATTATAATGCGATGACACGATCACGAATTAATTAACTGTAAGCCTAGTGATACGGATCGTTGAAGATAATTCTAACGATAGCAAGGCTGGAAGATGCATGTGATTCTTTATCAACGCGTAATGGATTGGATCATTTTAGGACGTCACAAAATAAACAAAGTAATAAGTAAAGTATCTCAGATAGTCAAAAACGTAATAGACATTTCCTACACCACAACACTTGATAATTTTTAGTTAGGTACACTTGTTCACATTCACACTATCAACAAATCGAAAGAAGACGGCGCGTGTATACACTTGAGAATGACAGAATGTGTACAGTGTGTACGCGAGCACAACACCGCGTACGCAGTGGTAAGAACGCGCGCGCGTCTCGCCGCGATCTAGCTAATGACCGGCATGGCGCGTATTCGCGACCCCCACTCCGCCACAGTACGCGCTATCAAACCAGTTTACGTGAAAAATTTTAATTCCTTAGCGCGGGTGACGACCAGTCGCGCTTTCCTCGCACGCCGATGCCTCCCCCGGCCACGAGGAAAAAGCGCAGCGCCCCCGGGGGCGAGCCGGAAGTGCACCACGGCCGACACGCAAGCTAGGCGCACCCACCGGCTTAATTAAAAGCTGCACGCCGTACACCTACCCCTCAATACGACACTACCGACCACTCAAATCTACTGCAACAACTGTTACAACATATCAGAAAGTTTATTTTTACAATAGTCCAAGGATGGCCTTGTAAGCTCACTCAGTGATGAGAATCACAATTATGTAATAAGATTTTAGAAAAGGCTCAACAGTCAAAGATTTTTTTATTTCTATGCAGTGCATACTTCAAGTATTCTTTCGTCAATGATCTCGATATATCGATAGTTTGCCTCAACTGCTATATTCCAACTCACAAATTTTCAAAAGTAATAGAAACATTTCCCTTTAGTCATCATGTCAATGTCATGTTATTTTTGTGTTTGTACATGTAACCTTGTGCTACTTGTTTACCACGTTTCAAAAGGAAGAAATAGAGTACATGTTAAAAAAAATCTTGTTAATCCGTAAAATAAAGTAAATCGTAGGTGTGCCCCCTAGGTGCAGTTCAATCCTTTAACTACTGGTAAGACATTTTAGCCCTAAGCAACAAACGCTTTTCTAGGAATGACTATAGCTGCACTGCATACATGATTGCTAATTTTCGAACGCGAAAACGAAAAAAAAAACAGAGGTTTTGAGAGGTTTTACGATGATCGATTTTTATTTACGTATATATTTCGGGGATGCACTGGTTTCCTACCTAATGAGGGCCCTCTGCTATAGGGGGTGAAGCGCGTCTGACGACCAAGCGTAAGGTTGGAAATTCGCCAAGCAATATACATATGCGCCGAAACATGTGGCAACAAAAAAGTTTAAAAACCACATCCAACCCACACGCACTGATGATATTACCTTAAAAATTTAAAAAGCGATCGTTATACTCTAAAGATTTAAAAATTTATAGATATTTATGTGTTCAGGGTACAGAGAAACTGTCTCATACTATCTGAAAACGTTCAATAAAATGTTAAATTTATTTAATATTTTTTTTAATTTATTTTGATATATGAATAAATGTTGAATTTATTCATCTAAAATTTTATACGAAAGATATTGTAAACCATAATGACGCAAGAATATTCAAGTCATTGATTGCATTTGATATTATTACGGTACCTTTTACTAACATCAATTCGCATTGGAATCTGAGCGATTATTGAAACGGCGAACGGAAATACTGTGAACAAACTACTAAAACTTATTAAGTAAAGGCAATTTCTGTACAATATAAAGAAATACTTTTACCCGAATTATTCCGTTGAAAAACCAGCCAGTTTTTCTTTTATATGAGGTTATTTTCCTACTACTACTAAAAACGAAAGAACCTAGTATGTTTTACCCAGATAGCTGGATTTTATTTTAGTAGGATGTATAGTAGTGTTGTATATTTATGGATTTCAGTAATAGGTACAGTCGAATAATGGCAATACGGTAGACTTACCAGATTCAGATTAAAATACATGCAACTAATTAAATATTACTATTGCAAGCCTTCGTGATCGCATGAATATTTATTACGCTAATAAATGCATGTTATTTAATAACATTTTACCAGAAGTATTCTTGTACGTTATGTTCTAGTCCTGTTGTTTACTAAAGCAAAATTATATGATTTTTTTGGTACAATCTTTAAATAGTCTGACTTATTATGAAGACATTCTAAGTTATGCGTTCAGTGTATTCGGTACATATACGGTATAAAACAAACTACCGAAACATTATAAACTTTGTTTCACTAAAATTATTTCCAGTAAATAATTAATAATCCATATTCTAATGGAAAAAATAGACCACAATTTTTTGATTTAAGTATCATTTATTCGTGATTCATGGATAATGTAATCAACTCTAAACTAGGTCCGCTGAAGTCTTTATTTAACAAATAAAGGTAAATTTCGCTTCCATGACATAAAAATGACCTATTTTATCTTATGACGTCATGTTTCATAAAAGAAATGGGAATTTCGATGCTTACTTTCAGAGCAATTAAAATTAGGAGGCTTGTGCATTAGATTTAAGTATCCATTACATACAAAGTTTGTATTACCATGAGACGCAGCTAAGTCGCCACTTACACACACAATGAAAACATTTAGGGGAAGTATTACTCACCACAGTATTGCGTACGAATACTTACACCATGAGTCTATTATGGTAAATAACCCTGAATAAAAACTGGATCCGATTAAGGTGGCATAAAGGGTTTCTTTTCGTTTTGAATAGTCGTTTATAAATTGTAAGTCGTAAGCACCCTAAATAAATTACAAGGTGAATAATATTAAACTTGATTATTCCCTGAGGGGCATAGAAACATATTATTAAACGGGTATGACTTTATAAACTACTTTTTTAATATTATTTCTGCATGGCACAAGCTTTGAACTCTATTAAGTTGAAGCTCATTATCCACATTCTGTTACATACAGCTGTTTTAACATCTTACTTTTTATATTTAAATTTTCATATCTGTACATGTACTTTCTAGTAATTATACAATTGCCTATTATTAGTAAAAAACATAACCCTTCCTTGGCAGTCGCGTAAAAAGGGGGTCCTTCTCGAAATTATCAGTGGTTGACAGGAACTAATTAATAATAATAACTTCACGCTTCTCAAACACGGCCATCTGATTCTAAACTAGGCAAAGCCTGTGCTATGGTAATTAGACAGTATTCCTCCTGGCGCCTCAATCGTGGTCAACTCGGTCTTCGTACCGGTTCAGGTCCAGATGAAGTATCTGGGCCTAATCCTCTACAGTCCAAAGCTGGTCGACGCTGCGTCTACCCTTGGGCGACTTTTACCCAATCTGGGTGGAGCCAGCGTCGTGACAAGACGGCTGTACACGGGGGTTGTCCGGTCAATGGCACTGTATGGTGTACCGCTGTGGATCGCCTCTCACCGTCCAGAATAGGACGCGCCTCTGGGCGCCCCAGAGAGTATTTAAGGTTAAAGTCATACGCGGTTACCGCACCTCGTCGACGGAGGCGGAATGCGCGTTGGGCCGGAACTCTCCTGATGGATTTGGAGGCGGAGGTGCTCGTCGAAGTTTATCTGCGGACGGCTGAGTACCAAGCGGTTGCGGCGGTCGGCCCCCGCCCCAAGAGGTACGCGAGTGGCCTGAGGCTGCTCACCGAGCCATGATGGCTTATTGGTCCTCCCGGCTGGAGGCTCCACGTGCCGGTTTTGCCACCGTTTTACCACCCAGTCATTCACATCATCCCGATTGGGCAGGGCGGCAGCACAGGAACCTTTTCTTCCGTCTGACGCTGGTCCTTTCAAGGCAGCGCTGCTTCGGGAAGTATCTGCACTCGGTTGCTAGGAGGGAATTGACTCCCACCTGTCACCACTGCGATTGCAGTGAAGACTCGGCTCAGCACACGCTGGCAATTTGTCTGGCTTGGGTGTCTCAGCGTCGGGTCCTCATTGCAGTCATTGGAGAGGATCGTTCGCTACCGGTCGTGATACGCTCCATGACCGATAGTGACAGTTGTTTTATCGCGCCGCATGTAACCCTGAGTGTGGCCGCGGGTGGACGGGACGGGTTTTGCCCTCCACCCGCCATAACGGCCAGAGGAGGCGACGTACGCGTGTGCCGAACGTCGCCTAAATAGAAAATGTACCCGAAGGTTGCGGGCAGGCGCTAGGAGGGGTCTGGACGTCCTAATAACAGCAGTCCCCGCATCCCTCCTATTACAGGCGCAGAGTGGCACACTACGTGGTTTAAGTCGGTCCGCAAACCCCGGTGGAGTGATGGGCCGAGGGAGTTTCCACACGTAAATAAAAAATTATAATCAGACAGTATATTTCTAAATATAGTTTATAGTGAGGTTCATAAAATCATATTCTTAGGCCTTTCTGAAGTCATGTTACTAAAACTAATCAACCATTAGTTACCATCAGTTATTATTTTAAATTTCAATTCCTAAAATTATTCAAGACTTGTGATTAATGAAGAAGAGCCCAGACAGAAGTTCCAGATGTTAATAAGTAATATTATTAATAACCTCAGACATTTCACAGACGGCCGTCTAATCCCAAACTAGGCAGAGCCTGTGCTATGGTAACCAGACTGCTGATAAACATGCTTATATATTTCTAAATATATACGTTTTATAGATAAATTACACCCAGACACAAAACAAATCATCGTGCTCATCACACAATTATTTGTCCTGGGTGGGAATCGAACCCATGACCTCCGGCTTAGGAGTCAGACACTAGACCAACAGGCCCGTCAAAAAATAATACCTACTAAATCGAGAAAATAATAAGTACATAGGTATACGGATAAGCACATAGAAATTTGACTACCTAGTATAGTCGAAATGTTTAAAAATCTTCTCAATAATAAGATCAATAATAAAATCAATTGGTACCAGTTTTTTTGGCACCCTAACGGTCTCACATGGTGAGAGACGGTGCTTAGGACTATGTTTACTTCTAAAAGCATTTTAGTTTGAAAATCTACTTGGGTCTCCCTGTTTGGTTTTGAAGTAATGGGATATGGGTAAGAAAACTCCTGAGAATACTCAATCAAAAGTGGATAATTTTCCAAAAGCTTTGATACATAGGTTCCTACTTAAAAACCCCGAATTTTACCATAACTAATTAGCTTTTAATGTTGTTGTGGTGACTTTATGTGTGTTGAACTATATTTTTAATTATATATATTTATAACAAAATAATTTGAAAAACGATTTAAAATAATTTGATTTGATATAGCCGAATGTTGGCAATTAGTTGGACTCAGAGGGTCCCCAATGAGGAAGTTCTGTGACGTGTCAACCAGAAACGGCAACTTTTGGAGACAGTCAAAAAGAAAAAAGTTGCATATCTCGGGCACGTGCTTAGGCATGAAAGCTTTTTGATTTGAGCTTTTACAGATCGTTATGATGGGTAAGGTTGCCAGAAGAGAGGTTGGTCGCAGAAGAAAGTTGTGGCTACGTAACATCCGAGAATGGACGGGAATCGCGAGTGCGAGTGAATCAAAAATCAAAAAACAAGAAGGACTACGCAAAGCTGCCTGGCCATCCTTCGCTAGTCGGAGAGGCACTTTAAGAAAAAGAAATAATTTGTGAGCAATTGTATAGATTAAGATATTAATTTTTTTTTTAATTTGTACTAGTTTACAGCTTCCGTGATAGGTCAACATAGAAACGTTCTAGGCTCCTGTACCTGATGTAACCATTTACGCATAATTTTTAAATTACATAAAAACTAGCAACAGCAGCAAAATGTAGCGGAGGATACATGCCTTACACATTATTAATCTAAAATGATTGACTTAATTATCGAGCGTGCTTATGTCTTTGTTTTTTAAACGAATAATTCAGTAATACGTTGTTTTCACACAATAGGCCATTTGACAACATTGAAAATATTCTCAAATTACGGTCATCCTATTAGATAATAGGATAGAATAGCATAATTTACTTTATTTCACACGCTAATTGGTGTAAATTTTAAAGCAAATTTAGCTTCTTTTTTACACGCTTTATTTTAGCTTCACTTGTATGTTGGTTTGTTTGTTTGTATGTTTGTAACCGACTCCTTTGGGCGTGATTTTGACTGACTTTAAACGGTCAGAATTCGTTCAAACTTTGTAGATATATCGAGGACCGATGACAATACACTAATTTAAAAAAATATATAGTTTTAAAAAACTAAAAAACACTAAAATAAATTTGAAAAAAAGCGTGGGGTGCTTTTTACTATTGACAACAGGCACCCAACGCTTTTTTTCAAATTTATTTTCTATTTTTTAGTTTGGTTTTCTATAGAAAGCGTTTTTTTTTTTTTATTTTTTTTTTTTATTAATTTTATCTCGGAAGGGAACGTCCTATGATTGGAGACAAGTCTGTAACGACACCGCAATAGTCACCGCAGTAGTAAGTGTCAAAAGTAAACAATAGATTAAAAGGAAGTTAACAATACAAACAATCTCAATTTGTGGATTCAACGTGGATGCAGGACTATAAACTATGAGGTAATGTATTCCTCGTATAGCAAACTTGTATAGCTCCGTAGATGGCAAGTCGTTTCTGATGGGGTTGCAGTTCTAACCAAACCTACTTTTCTGGTAGCAAGTCGTTTCTAAGGGGGTCGCCTTAAAGCTTAAAAATAATGCTTTATAAATAGCAACATTCAATGTGCTGAGCTTCCCTCTAACGAAAATTTACCTCTCTTTTCAATCGGTTCGGGTGTCTCCACTCCCTATAGACCAACCATAGAGATAATATATAATTAGAGTAGGAAAGCTGGCTGTAGGCGTTGTAATAGCGTTAGAGAGAGAAAAAAGATTTTGCGGGTCCTGCATCCACGTCGTCTCACTTACTGGCCGACGTACGGCCGCCTCTAGTTATATATTATCTCTATGATCGCAACCCACCTAGCTAATATACACTATAAAACACTAACTAATTTTGTAAGCGGTAGCAAAAATATATAGGTATACAAAATATTCTTGGTTTAATCCTAACTATTCCTGACGAGTACAATAGTAATTATAAATGTAAATGTGCTTTTGTTTGCGATCATCATTCAATTTTGCCTGCCGCAGCGGAGTGGCGAAGCTTAGTGAAACGTAGTGTTAGTGTTTTGTTTTATTGTTGAAGACGTCAAAAAAGAAAAAAAACATACCGACTGGGAGCTTTGCTGGCGTATAAACAATAGAATAGGCTATTTGACTAGATTTAGAAAATGTTTTAGATTATTCTATATATGAAATTGTACATGGTACATTAATGTATCCGGGAAATTAGATCTATTTATAATCTAATCTTAATCCGCGGCAAAAACGAGGCTTGACGTCACAGACCAGTTACTCAAGGACAAGAGAGGGGGGGGGGGGAGGGACAAGGCCCCAAGATCATGACGTAACGTAATTGACATATGACATAAACAAAACAGTGCTGAAGTGGTTATAAAGTGAGTTTCATTATTTTTGTTAAGATATATTAGATAAAATGGCGTATAAATGATATGTAGTGTCAAAATGTAAAAATACGTCTAAAACAACTCCACATAAACTGTTTGTTTCTGTGCCAACGGATCCAAAAGACGAAAACTGTGGTTACAATTAGCGATATTTATACAACTTCTTTCAGAGTTCATTAAAAAATACTTTTAGAAATAACAAAAAAACCCTTAAAAAACATTAAAATGTGCACTTTCATTCGGTCAAAAGAATCCACAAAGTGAGATTGTTTGTATTGTTAACTTCCTTTTAATCTATTGTTTACTTTTGACACTTACTACTGCGGTGACTATTGCGGTGTCATTACAGACTTGTGTCCAATCATAGGACGTTCCCTTCCGAGATAAAATTAATAAAATAAAATTAAAAAAATAAGTTTAAAAAAAACTAAAAAATACGCTTTCTATAGAAAACCAAACTAAAAAATAGAAAATAAATTTGAAAAAAAACGTTGGGTGCCTGTTGTCAATAACGCCTGCAACTCAGAAGTCACAAGCGCGTTAAAAGGCTTTGAGGAAGGAGTACGCTCTTTTCTTGAAAGTTTGAAGGTCGCATCGGTCCGGAAATACCCCAGCTGATAACTATTTCCACAGATTGGTAGTTTGAGGTAAAGTGTCTTGAAGTGCACACAGAGGTGGAGCGCCAATTATCCAAGTGGTGGGGATGAACATTTTGTCGTGTGGGACAATGGTGGAAGGTTGCGGCCGGTATTAGTCCGAACAATTCCTCGGAGCACTCTCCATGTTATATACGGTAGAGATTGCAGAGCGAAGCTACATAACTACGTAACGCCAAGGGATCGAGCCGGTAGCAAATCTTTTGGTTATTGACGATTCGAGACGCTCTTTCTTGGATACGGTCCAGAGGGAGAAGCTGGTACTGTGGTGCCCCTGCATAGAGATGAGACCAGTATTCCATATGCGGTCGGACTTGCGCCTTATAGAGTTCAGCACACCAAGCTTCTTCGAGGCCAATTTGACCTTACCCTCTAAACTGGACTTTGCTCGATATCTCAATGCCTAGGACTGCAACACTGGCTGAGGCAGTTAGGGAAATGCTCTCCAACCGAGGCGATACAACAAACGGTATATTTTTTGCAGTGAAAGCGCACAACTGTGTCTTTTTTGGGTTAAAATTGACCAGATTCAGTAATTAGATTGTGTTTTATGTATTCTTGTAAAATAAAATCTTATACACTTGACTGCATTTTTCAACACCAATTTTAAGCTCAAAATCATATTAATATTACTAAATGCGGAAACCTCAGAAAAACTGTGATTTTTTTGTATTAGTTTTAGACGCTATAATAATAATTTATTTCAGAAATATTTCTTTTCCATATTTTAAGTAACAGTAAATATAGTATTTTTTTTTATTATTATGTAAGGAATGGTAGTTATATATAATAAAGTATTTACTAGATTCACTGTTATATAGGTGAAATAGGGTCTTTATGTATTGTCTGAAAACAGCTTATTGGCAACAATGCATAAGTAAGTAGTAACTCTAACACCTATGTGCGATAAAATGGAATGATAAATCACCGGTCTTTCACAGTTCACTGTGATTTTCTCCCATGCCTAATGTGTAACCATACTTGGTAATTTATGTAAATTGTTTCAATATTAATTGATAAAAATATGTTGCAATATTAAATTATAATCTAATTGTGTATTTTGATTGTGTGTGGCAATACATCAATAAAAAAAAAACTTTCTTTGTTTTGTTGACTATTACAATATTCTGTTATCACTGACATTATTTATTTATATTTATCACATATTATAAAACAATGACAATAAGAATTGCTTATAAGAAAGTCTTACCTTAGTTCGTGGCCTCCCTCGGCTTCTCTTCAAAGTTGTATCATGATTTGATTCACCACTTTTAGTCTTTTTCACGTTGTTTGTTTTTGTCGCACTTGGTTTATCTTTGTTATTAATATTTGTGGTATTGTCCTTAACATCACATTGTTTTCTTCCTTCATCATTATCACTCTTATTGGTTTGTTTTACTTTTGGAGGTGTCTTAGCAGCACATTTCGATGGTAAGTTTTTTGACACAGTCTTGAGAGGTATATCATCATCACTAGATGAATTAGATGAGCATTTGCTGCAAGAATCTGAACTGGAAGAACTATCAGAGAGCTGGGATTTATTTTTCAATGATGGTCTATCCTTACTTTGAGTTTCATTATTGGTCACTTTTTTTTTAGCAGCTGTGCTTGGTTTGGTGATTCTTTTTGGTGATACCTTTCTTGGTGGAATAGCAGCAATTTTGAGTTTGAGTCCTGTGTCACAGGAAGTGACTGAGAAATGTGCCTTGCGATTTGGACTCAGTTTAGAGTCAGAGCACTCCCACTCGCTTCTTGATGAAGCACTGGAACTGCTGTTCTGTAATTGGAATGAGAAATAAGTATATCAATCACAAATATTTGATATGTTTTTCTATAGTTTTCAACACATTAAGTACACCTAGTGATTATTACAGTTAACTCAAGCTAAAAATTAATTGAATAATAGTATTTTAAATTATTTAAATACCTATAACATCAAAAATTATAGTAATAAACTACTGTATATACCTCAGAATCACTGTTGGAATCTGTATCACCACTTGAGTCTTGAGTTTTTGGCAACTCTGTGCCCATTTCTGGAAAAAGCATAAACATAATGATAGTCTAATGTAATATTGTAAGTAAATATGCTTAAATGGCCTTGAACTTAGAGAACCGCAATAACAAATCATCACAGTATCAATTGACTACAATAACAAATAAGTACTCATGAAATGTAATAGCCTGTTGCTTCATAATTAATACAAGGCATATAAAAATGGACAACTAACTTGTAAAATATGTTTTATACTAGTCGAATTAACATTTAAAGTCATGACGCTATTAGTTTTCGGTTTGGCAGAAGTACTTACTTCAAGGTTGGTCAAGATGTTTCCAAATTTAACAGTTTATTTGTCTTCATTTCAGACGAAATATATCCCAATCATTATAGCAATCTGAAAAACGACAACGAAGTAGACGATATTAGTCATCCTAGATCACTTTTGTTACAAATAATCTATTTTCAACTATCTTCATTTTCTTGCAATGACAGATCTGACGACACTTGTAAGACCAGTTTGTGCACATGAATCTTGCGATATGTTATGTGTAGCACGGACTACATCTACTATGAGAGACAACGAAGTTACATAAAAGGAATTCTGTTTTATGAGATAAATTAGAATAGGGGGCCATAACGGTTTTTCAGGACATTGGCGCCAAATAAGTGCATACGTTTACATTCTTGTGTTGAATTATACCGACCAGAACGAAATCGTAAAACTAGTTACATTATTTACAAACACATGCAATAAATAATGTATGTACTAACCACATCAAACGACTCCCTATTACAAGGTTAGGCTACAAAATTACTTCACACTAGCATAACACTTGGCCTCCATGTTTACAAATCATTCGTATAAAAATTGTGTATGGGTACGTATCTACGTAAGTCGAGAGAAAGTCGGTGAATTTTGCATCTTATTCTTTCACTCGTATGAAAGTTACGCAGGAAAGAACGAGACTTAACAATTTAGCTATGTAAAACGCTGCGCAAAATGGCGTCGTTATTATTAAATGACTTCAAAAAATAGATCAATTAAGTCTTACCTTTTCGAGCAATTATTTAAACTTTGATTATCTATTTTAAAGACATAGTTATCACAAATTAACATTATAATGCCCATAACTACTATTAACGGCGGTTAGTTCGTATTTCGTTTAATAGTTCAACATTGACATCACTGCCATCTGCTGTGTAAATTATGAAACCATCTTCTATTCTATTCTATTCTTTCATTTAATAAACACTACTAGAATCAACACAATCACATTTTTATGCTAGCGTATAATCTACAGAAAGGTAATTTGAGAGGAATTCTATATGAGGAAGTCTTAAGAGTTAATCTGAGGCCTCGTGCCAGACTGGTATCTGGTGTGTAGCATGTATCGGCGGCTAGAGCTTATCGGCGGCACGGTCGCCAGGTTTTTGCCAGAGTTTACTGTGTGTCCGTGTAGTGACGGATTAAGAATACGAAATATCACTACCCCAATTCATCCCGTGGGTGTCGTAAGAGCCGACTAAGGGCGCAAAACAATGCAGGACACCAGCACTGCAAAAAGAAGAAAAACTTGACACAAACCCTATACCAACCCGTCTGGCCAGCGTGGTATAGTAGGTCAAAACCGGTCAAAAGGCTGTTGGTGACGATTACTGTGTGTAGTAGCCAAGACGAGGAAAATATAAGAATCTTTTGGACACTGTTAAGCAGAATCTAAAAATTGAGATATTAAATACTGGTGGAATTCTATAATTGTTTTGTAATGTTTTGTTTGTTTACTCTACAGGCAGAATTATCGTTAGTCAAACAATGGAGCCCATAGTATTAAAAAGGCTATTTAAATTTGCAGCTAAAAAAAACACAGGTGTTTTTTTAAAACACAGGAAGGAGGACAATTTTATTCTGTGAAGTTCTAGTAAAATTATTGTACTCTGTGGTAAAGTGTGATTTGACGTTCTATTTACTTAAAGATTAAGAGATAATAATATATATTATATATATGTCTATATATTATTAGCTGTATATATATTTAACTAGTTTAAGTTGTATCATGCCTATAAAAGATAAGATTTATTCATTCTTATTCTTTCATTCTCAAAAAATTTTTTTTGGCTCTACCACAGCTCTACATAAAATCCTTTGACAGTTTGTTTTTCAAAACATGACATTGGCGAAATTGTGGTTACACTCTACCAAAAAGCCATTAACCAAAAGTTGAAGTTGATATGTCCATAGCAATTTACTTCCAATGTGAATCATGAATTGAAATCGCCCGAGTTTGGGGTTTTTTATATTTTCTTCATTTTATAACTTTTTACTCTTTATTAATTAACGTTAAATGTAAAGTATGAACAGCATTGTGAGATAATCTTTAATGTTTAAATAGTACTCGAGAGGTGGGTTAAGATTGTCAAAAGTAACCTTAGCAAGCGATAGTTGTTTTGTAGATGTTTTTAATCTACTTCCGGGATAAGCAACCTCAACGTGTAATGGATGAACTAGAAGTATGGGAAGATTTATCCAATATACCAGCGGATCCACCTGACATGCGAGAAAAATGTGCTGGCTGCAAGTAAAGTTATTTTTTCTCTCGTTTTATTTTATTATTGCCTACTGTCACTGAGTTCTGATCTTCAGCGTCTAATGCCGATTTCTACAATCTATGTTATAGTACCTCTATCGAAACTAGGTGATTAACTATCTGATTAGAAAGCATTTATAGTCCCTAATAATTTTAAACGTGCATTTTGACAGTTGACGTTTATATATAAGCATAGAGAGAACATGGGGTACAGCTGCCTGTAAGTGATACAGGCAACGAGAGAAATAGATGCCCTATAGTTCCCTCTGTCTCTGTTAAGCTAAGCAGCGCTTGGCTATCGTGTAGTCAGCATCGTTTTGATCATAGAACAAGCGGAAGGTTAGAAATTTACCTAGCCAACCACAGTGCTCAACTAAAAAGATAGAGCTAACTATCTATTATCCATCTCACTTGGTGCCTATATTGCAAGATTGGGGGCTCTTGTTCACTCTATGCTTATATTTCTATGTTGGGGTGTCTACAAAGCCATAGTGGGAATAATCGATTCAGATTAATCATCAATTGTCATTATTCGTTTTAAAATAGTAATAATAATGATCATTTACTTCAGACCATAGTGATGCAATACTTGTAGCTATTCATTTAGTCTCTTTTCTAAGATTTATATAAATCTTAAAAAAGAGACTATATACATAGTTTGTATTTTTAGCTATATCTATAGACTATAGATATTGCTAAAAATACAAACAAGGATAAGGATTGAGGCATATTTCTCAAATTTACTAGGCACTATCGTGGCTATGGAATGTAAACCGGTAACTTTAATTTTATTTGTTTTGTTTGCACTTTGATTACTCTTTTGCAAGGACTAGGTATCATTCTTTATAATGAGTTCTTATCAGCTGGAAGGGATCAATAACATTATCATTGTAAAAAATATACAAGTTCATTAGGCCCTAATTTATAAGTATGAAATAAAAAGTTATGGTTTATTTTATTTGATGTACAGTCACATGCATCAATATGTAAACATTAACATATTTGCAAAAATAAGTTAATATTTGATAAATGAATTTTATATGAATGTATTTATATGTATATATATGTATATATATTTTATATGTATATATATGAATGTATTCAAAACAATAAAATCCTAAAAGTGGGTCAAAATTAGGAATACTTTTTTTTGTAAAGTAAACAAAACACTGATCTTGAAAAGTAGAAGCTCCCAACGTCATATTTAGGTAAATATGACCATTTCTTTAACAGATATACAATGCAATCAGAACATTGTTTACACATTACTGTTGATTATTAATTAATAAAAAGTATAATGTACCGTTTCTAAAAGATTGATTCAAATGTAATAAAAGATTTTGTAGGGTTGAAATGTAAAATTTATTAAGTTTAATCAAGATTATGCATCAAAGTGCACTAGTTAAAATAATCAATTAGTTTGAAATACTGAATATAATAAAATATTTTTTTTGTCATTTTTATTGAATATCAATAAGATATTTGCGCCATACAAACATTTAATGACCAACCATATATGACAAGTAATGTATGTAAATTAAATTAACTACTTAATTAAACCTCCTTTCTGAGGAGAGGCCTATGTCCAGCAGTGGACTAGTAAAGGCTGTTGATGATGAAACAAACTATATTACAGTGGGAAACTTGATAAAGGATCACAAAATTAATAAAATAAATATTTTTTTACAAACTTTAATGTTGAAACATTTTTGGTAACAGCTGTTTTTTTATCACCCTCTTAATAAAAAGCTGATTGAATGAACCCTACAAATATTTTGACTATGTTTTTTGAACGTGGGATCTAATCTTGGATATTTTAACTATTATATTTTCATTATATTAGGTCTGTTAATTATTAAAAATATTGGAGCACTTAAAATCTGGTGTAAACCCAATGCAAGTCTTGATCATTGTCCCGGATCCTCTTCTCCGCCTCCTCCTTCTTCTTCGAGATGACGTCATGAGTCACGTTCGAGATGATGTGACAGTGGTAAAACATCTGTCGTTACCGGGCCATGGAGCGTACTACGGCCGGTAGAGAGACATGCTCTCCGATGACTGCAGTGAGGCCCGACGCTGTGTCGCCCAGACGGAGCAAACCGCCATCGTGTTTTGAGCCGGGTCATCACTACAACGAAGTGCTGACAAGCGGGACTCAATTCCCTCGTCGATAGGCTGCTTCAAGCAGCCGTGCCCGGAAAGGATGTGCGTCAGCTGGAAAGAAAAGGTTGGGGAGTTCCGGCCGCTGCTTTCGTCGACACGGTGCACCATGTACTGCCATTGACCGGACGACCCTCGTGTACAGCCGTCTCCTCGCGTCGCTGGGTTCAAACAGATGGGGTCAAAATTCCAGCAGACGCAACGTCGTCGAGGATCAGGCCCAGATACTTCATCTGGGCCCGAACCGGTACGAGGACCGAATCTACGTCAAATGAAGTGCCGGTTGGACGGACCCCGAAGGGGAAGTATTAGAATTGCTTTATGTATCGTTCAAATCGTGCAAAGTTGCATTCTTTAGTCACAGAACGTCAGTTTCAAGTTTCACCTGTCAAAATGCACTTAGATTATTTTTACTATAGTTTAAGGGTGAGCTTCTGTAAATGTTAAAATGAATGTCCAAAGTATTATTTTCAGAAGTATAACTTTATAATAGTGATCTTAGTCAAAATAAAGGGTTGATCTGGGAATCTAGTCATCAAATAATCAATCTTAATAATCTTTTTTTTTATGGGACAAAATCACAGTGAATTGTGATTTATCATTCGATTTTTTCGTACGTAGGTTAGGGTTGTTACTACCTTACGCGTTGTTTCCGATAAGCTGTTTTCAGACGATGCATAAAGACCCTATTTAACAGTAAATCTAGTAATTATTTTATTATATATAGCTACCATTCCCGTTAAATAGCGTCTCAAGTCACAAAATTAAGGAGGTACATTACATTTGAAGTAGTTAAAAAAATTGCACCACTCAATGCTATTGTTTAACTTTGGGGTACTTTTTTTATTCAACAAAATATGTTGATTGGTTACATTCAAAATGTAAGTGCAAATTTTATCTCTAGTAATCTAATGTAAATTTGAATTTTGTCTATTTAAATTAAACAAGAGTATTTAAATAAGACAAGTAAAAAATATTAGGCTAGATACCTATTTTATTTTAGAATTCTTTAAACTTTTGATCAACATTAAGCCCAACCTCATTGAATTATATAAATTAGGGATTCCAAGATTATGTTAACAAACAATTAATTACTGTTTTTTATTTCCTATTTTTTTCCAATAAAATATCGCTTACATTTGAAAGAAACAAGTTTATTTTAATGGCATTGCAACACAATCACAATATTATTGTACAGATTAAGAACATATTATTAGAACATACATAGTATTGTAACACGTAACGAATTAGAATATAATATAGTAATTAAACACAGTAATAATTAACATAGTTGTAAATAAAATTAAAACAATTTATATAAATCTCTATATATTCTTACACATAACACAAAAACATAGTACATAGGTACATAAGATATTTCGCGGCGGTAAGACTCGTTATAGAGGATTGGCTCGAGAGGCATCACGGGACACTCTCATACCGGTTGACGCAGGTGATCACCGGGAAAGGATGCTTCGAAGATCACCTGTGTCTGATCCGCAAGGAGCCAACGCCTGAGTGCCACCACTGCGATGGCCGAACCGTGGACACAGCGCTCCATATAGGGGTTCCCACACAAGAGGGGGTCATTTACGCAAGTAGATGGCCCGAGGTATGTCGGGGTATCAGGGTTTTCCTTCCTAGGGTACACCTGGTACCTTGTCAACTGCTACCCGAGACGGCGGTTTTTGGCCGGTTCGAGTCCGATATAACCACCGGTGGTACATAAGATATTTGTTGTACAATTGCGTCGCTGTGTTCATTAAAAGGAGATGTTGCACCATTATGATACAGCGCTGATTTTCAGCAACACCTCGATAGAGAAATGTGCGTCTACAGTCCAAATACCTAAAGCGTTGCTAAATTTGCTGTCTCTTGTTTGAGTTTTGTTTCATTGTTTGTACAAATATGGAATAATAAGTACGACGTTTATGCAATAGGTATAAATATGGAATAATAAGTACGAATAAACATTATGAACATGTTTCTAGGGATTCTGAGTCTAATTTAATTTGCAAGATTAAAGACATGCTGGGATAGGTCCCACTAAATAAAATCTGTATAAAACGTAAAAATTAAAATTGTAAAATATTTTTTAAACCAGCTATAATGTTATTCAGCACTAGCTTTAGCACTTGAAACAAATGTCTGGTTAACAACATGGGCAGTGCAGTTGTTTAATTTGTTTTTTTAGTCTGAGATCATTACCTACCTAAAAGTTTATTTGCATGTTTCAGTCGTAATTTTATATGTACCTAGGTATTAGGTAGGTCCTAGGTGTATACGAGTAGAGGTGAAATTTATCTCAAGATAGTTGTCTGGATCTACTATGAGGATATTAATTGCTACAAACACATATTATATACTCCTTCTTATCTCATTTCAGGAGACCTGCTATGGTTTGTTGGTGTATAGCATTGCCTCCTAAGAGATTAACACCCCGTAGCAGAGTGATTTTACTTCAACATCCAGCAGAAGAAAAAAGATGTTTACGCACTGCACCAATGCTCCAGTTAGGATTAGCACCAGACAAGTGCCTTATATATAAAGGGAAAAAGTTTCCACAGCCTAGACATGAGGACTTAGAAAATATACTCAATCAACCAAACACAATATTATTGTACCCAAGCAAAACAGCACTTGATATAAGACATATGGAAAATGATACAGATAACTATAATCTAGTTTTAATAGATGGCACATGGCCACAGGCTAAAGCAATATATACTTCAAGTCCTATATTACATAGAATTAAACAAGTGAAACTGTTAACACGTACAACAAGCAGCTATGTAATAAGAACACAGCCAACCGAAGGATGTTTAAGTACACTTGAAACAGCTGCAGTAGCATTATCGCAATTAGAAAAAGACCCAATATACACAGAACAGTTAATCCAACCACTGCATACATTATGTAAATATCAATTAGAAAATGGAGCAGTCACTCATCAGTCTAAAGAGTTTTTGCTTAAAACTAAAATGTATCCCAAATTAATTGGAAAAAGGTTATCAAGACTGCTCAAATCTACAAATGATGACAATCCAACCAATGTTTAGTAGGTACTATTAAAGAAATGTAAATAAATTATTAAATATGAGGATAAAGATCATTTATTTGCTATAATATATGTACAATGGTGTAATAAAATATTACAGTCTCAATATGTTCTTTCCATTTCAAGAAATGCAAATTAAAAAATAATATAATTACTTATTACTAATCTACAAATAATCTTTTTTTTTTTCTTAAACAATAATATAATAATAACTTCATACATCTCACACAAATAAAAACAATTAAATACAATGGCCAACTAGTAATAAAATATTTGTTTTCTTTTTTATTACCTATTAATTATATTTTTAAAACAATTGAATACCTACAATAATACTCTAGTACCACTTATGCCACTTGCACTTTAATTCAAGAGGTGGAAAGTCAGTGTAACTGGGTTTTGGAACGCGGTTCCAGCCAATATCCTGTGTCTGCTGCGCTGCCCCAGGTTCGAGCAGATCCGACGGTAACAGACCGGATGGGTTGACTCTGGTGCCCTGGAAGAACGGCAAGTGCCTGATCTGGGACGCCACTTGTGTCAGCACTGTTGCCGCCAGCTATATGAGTCGTACCGTCCACTCCCCGTCGGTCGCAGCGAAAGACGACTTTGGAGCTTTGGAGCAGTTTTACTATTTCGTTCCTATAGTGCGGGAGACCATGGGCAGCGTGAGTGACTGATACTAGGAAATTTATAAAGGAACTAGGTCGAAAACTCATAGACATCAATGGGGACTCACGCTCCGGTTCGTTCTTGGTACAATTGCCATTCACCGCGGCAATGCAGCAAATGTGACGGGTACGTTTCCACTAGAAACGATCAGGGATTGGTTAATTTAATTAAAGCTCTGGGTAAATTTGCTCTTGATCATGTCTGGCGCATCAGATGTTTTAGAGATATGTTATTTGGACTCCAAAAATGTTTCCATTGTAATGTCTGACGATTTTAAAGTAAAACAAGCCCGGGGTTTCCACGTGTAAAAATAAGGGGTTTTGAATAGCCCTCATTTCAATACCCTTTTTTTACACGTACTAGTTCAGGGTTATCCGAACCGATTGAAGATGCTGGAGAATCTCGACCGTCCTTATCCGCGCGGCGACAAATGCTCCACTTCCCCTTTCGGAGACTCTCCAGCCCAGCTTCTTGAAGGAAAGGGCTGCGACTACGGATTCGTTCCAAGAACACCACCCCCGAACCAGACGCGACCTATCCGAGTGATGGCCCTAGTCCTCACCGCCATGTCAGACCCCTTTACGGACGGTGTTCGACGCTAGCTTGGCGTCCAGACGTTTCCCTAAGTGCTGAAAGAGTGGGGAGCTGGCCTAGTTAACGAAGCCGGGATAACCTACCAAATCGTTTGCGGCCTACAGGCCCATCGTGCTGCTGAACGAGTAGGGGAAAATTATTTGAGAGGGATTTCTCTAGGTGCGACCCATGTCGGGCAGTGTTCCACAGGTGTCTGTTCTTGGAACCCTCCTGTGGAACATAGGGTACGACTGGGGCCTTCGAAGAGGCTTCACCCCGGGCTGGGCGTAATTGTTTACGCCGATGACATTTTGGTTATAACCCGTGAGGTAAACTTACAAGAGGCGGGGCGCCGGGCCACCAGGATTATCTCTCTGGTAGTCGGGCGCATGAATATTACCTGTGTCACAAAGAACACCCAGACTATGAATAACAATTATAATGTTATGAATAAATTATATTGTGGATAACGCAAAGTGTTGTCCTATGTCGGAATCGAGCCCATAACACTCAGGAAGCGGCGAGGTGACCGCTTAAACCAACTATGTCATCCGTGCAGTCAATTGACATCATTGAGGCGGTGCCGCGCTGGCCTTACGTGGTAAGACATGGGCTCCGGCGTGGTCCACCCCTTGGCGCCTCAATCGTGATCAATTCGGTCTTCGTACCAGTTCATGCCCAGAAGAGGTATATAGGCCTGATTCTTAACGGGAGGTGGGTATTCGACGATAGAACTTTCGACAGCTCGCTCCAAAGCTGGTCGCCGCTGCCGCTGCTCTTGGGCGATTATTGCCAAATTTGGCTTTACCCAGCGTCTTGACAAGACGGCTGTGCACGGAAGTTCTTCGGTCAATGGCACTGTACGGTGAACCGGTGGCTCTGATCGCCCAGAGTTAAAACGCGCCTCTAGTGCCCTAAGAAGGTATTAGCGGTTAGAGCCATACGCGGTTGCCGCACTGTGTCTACGGAGGCGTCGTGAGCGTTGGTGAGAACAACCCCCGAAGTATATCGGCGGACGGTCGAGTTCTGGGCGAATAGCGGTAGTCGGCCTCCGCCCAATAAGGTACGCGAGTGGCGTGAGGCCCAACGTGCTGACTTTGCCTCTGTGGATGCACTCCAGCCTGTCATCGTGGAGTGGAAAGGGTGTCAGCATGGGACCCTTTCCTTCTGAATGACGCACGCTCCATTTCCGAGCACGGCTGCTTCGAGAAGTACCTGCCCTCGGTAGGAGTGAATTGAGTCCCACCTGACCAATTACTAATTTAAACTGCAATATTAAACTGCTATTCGTGTATTTAAAAAATCCATGTTCACAATAGTATATTCATGATAGTATATATAGTACCTACTCGGTTCAATTTATAGTACTAAAATATTATTTTTTAAAGTTGGCGAGACAAGACAAAAGTAAATTTTGGGTCAAATTTGCTACCCCCTAAAATTTGCCGCCCTAGGCTCCAGCCTACTCAGCCTGCTGGTAAATCCACCACTGCAGCGAATAAGAAAGGCTACTTTTTACTGCGATAACCGACATATATGACGTTGGAGCCGTGGGTAAAAGCTAGTTTATTCATAATGAGCTATTTTTAACTGACAAATTAAACCATTTACATATTAACGTCAAAAATTTCATGTTCACATTGTCGCTTACTAACGGTGTTGCGTGAATGCTGTCAGCGTTGTTGGATAGCATTAAATTATTTTTACATTGGCAACATTAAAGTCTGTCAGGTTGACGTGCACAACTTTTATCTTTTCTTTTCTCTCGATTCTGTCAAACAAATCGGAAACATGGCTGAGGTTTGTAAATGGTTTTATAAATATAATCCTCTTTTATGAAGATAATCGTTTGTGATTAATGAATAAATTTTTCAGTGCTGTCGTGTCGTGGTATTGAAATTTTTAAAAATATATTATTTTTGTGAAGTGACCAACAATGTTTACGTTTTACAGGTCGATGAAACTCTTAAGAAAAAACGTACCTTCAGGAAGTTTACCTTCCGTGGAGTTGATCTCGATCAACTACTGGATATGCCCAAGTGAGTATTTATTTATAAATTGAGTACTGTACAAAGTATTGGATGATGTTGTAGATACATGTTTGTCGGCCTAGTGGCTAATAAGTTCAGTGTTTTATAGTTTCCGTACCTAACAATTGTTTTCTAATTTTCATATGGTTTAGTAAACCAATAATAATTATATATGCAAACCCCATTACTTAAACTTAGGTGTTATAAATGCTCAATATATATTATTCATAACCTTAAAATGTATTTTACAGTGAACAGCTCATGGAACTTATGCACTCACGCGCTCGTAGGCGGTTTGCCCGCGGCTTAAAGCGCAAGCCGATGGCTCTGGTTAAGAAACTCCGACGCGCAAAGAAAGAAGCACCTCCAAATGAGAAACCTGAGATTGTAAAGACTCACTTAAGAAACATGATCATTGTTCCCGAAATGGTTGGCTCCATCGTTGGTATTTACAATGGAAAGACTTTTAACCAGGTTAGTGATAAAGAATTTGTTCTCAATTGTGGCAAAAGTGTTAAATTGGCAGTTTGTTTTTGTGGAGTCTAGCACATGTAATCTTAAATCAATCAATTAGACTATAGGAATCAAATACTTGACATATACCTTTCCCGATTTGTGCCATAATACACGGTCCTCCACCTTCTGCACACAGTTTGTCCCAGTGATCTGCTTTGGGTCGTCTGTCTATTTATTTTTTCACTCAAAGAATTAGGGATGATATGTATTTCTGTCTTTGGTGTCATCATAATTATCTTGCATAGAGTAACTTTGAATCGATTTGTTTGGTAAAACAGATTGAGATTCATCACAGGGGGGACCTGTACAGCTATTCAAAGATTATAGTATCAATATTCTTTTAATGATCTCTAAACCATCAATAATTCTTTAAGTTCAGTTGTATTCAATTTTAAAAACTGTTATCTTGTCGTCTGGAACATTAAAACATTTTCTGAATATTAGTTGTAGCTTACCTGCATAGATTAATACAGTAAGCTTCTTAGACCTAGTAATAATAATATGGTAAGTCTTGTTTACCACCTGAACAGTGCATCATGTTTCAATAACTTATGTAAAATTTCGAATATTCTTATCTTCATTGCTATTGTTGGCATGCCACCCTATGTAGAGATAAAGACACATTAGCAAATCAGATAGATTGGCCGATCTTCACAACTGTACATGAGCCATTGTTTATTTGTAATCATTTGAGAACTTACTTCTTACCGTACTTATTACCTAGTTGACTGTGATAATTTTTAGTTAGTTGTGATCAAGTCAACACCTGGCTACGCCATGTTATCGATAGGAACTGTCCATCCTGGCCTTTAAGTAGATGTGTAACTAGCTCATGTCCAGTGCTGGATGGTCGATTAGATAGTTTCTTAAATAATAATTGATATATTAAAATTATAGGTGGGTTATCAATAAATATTTCAAGAATTTTCATTTAGCAAAAACTGAATTAAATGTTGTCCGGTGGGTTACTACTAATAATAATGACTATGATCTTAGAGTGATCAATTCATGATCTATCCAATTATTTAATGAAATGGTGATTATTCATGACATAATGAGTGTGCAGTGAATACTGACGAAAGTGTCAATCCACTTTACCATTACTGAAGGGTCTCCATGATAAAGAGATTTATTAAAAATTCTACATAGAGGGGGAACCCATATGTTGCTCTTTCTCACAATCTCTCATTTCACTCCATTTTCTATCATACTGAGAAGTAGTTTTGTAAATAGTTATTCATATTGTTCAACTCTAATTATTCATTAACCCCTGACGCAAAAACGATGGGGTGTACTACTACTGTACAAAAAAGTAGGAAATAATTTTCTATAGCTTCAAAAAGAAAAATCATTTTATTGAAAAAGAGCATGGGGTGCTAGATCTCAAATATTTTACTGGTTGATATTGGTAAAAGTAAAGTAATTATATTACAAAATACCTTGAAAAGCGTTATCTGCCAGTAAAATATTTTTACAACAACTGAGCACCCCACGCTTTTTTACCCTAAAGTGATTTCACGCTTTTTTACCCTGAAGTGATTTCTTTTTTTCACATTATACAAAATTATTTCCTAATTTTTAGTTTGGCTTTATTGTTTTTTTTTAAATGTAATTAATTTTTCTTTTTTAAACAAGCAAAACTAAAAAAGTAACAAGTAAGTTTATCACATGTTTCAGCACATGCCATAGTACGTGAAAAAGACACTACCGTATTTTTAGGTATTGGAAAAGCCGTTAATCCTGAAGGTCCTGATTAGGATAATGGGACAAACTATTAAAATTATTGCATTGTCATCGGTCCTTGTTAAGTGTGCAATTCGACGTTTTGAAGTGGATCAAAATCACGTTCGAAGATTGTTACATTCATACATACATACATACCAAGCTAATAAGTGTTAAAAAATTTAGTAAACTAAACATCATGTCAAACAGCATCATCAGCCTAAAGTCATAAACAGTCTTGTCATATCAAACATGTTTGATTATAATATTTTGTGTTTTACTTCCAGGTTGAAATCAAGCCTGAGATGATTGGACATTACCTTGGCGAGTTTTCAGTTACGTACAAGCCTGTGAAGCATGGTAGGCCTGGTATCGGTGCCACCCACAGTTCCAGGTTCATCCCACTCAAGTAGAGTGGCTTAGGCTTAAGTCTAATATAAAAATGTTTACACATATACAATAAAGTACTTGTGTGTAATATTTGTTTTATTTTAGTAAACTCTGTAAGCAAATACTTTTTCACTGTGTTTTTCTTTTAAAGACAATACTTTACAAACACTTGGGGGACTTTACAAACATACAAAAAACGGACACAAATAACACCCAGACTCAGAACGACAATTTGTGGATCACACAAAGTATCGTCCCATGTGGGGATCGAACCCACAACACTCAGCATAGTAGGAAGAGTCGTGGTGACCACTTAAACACACTATGCTATCCGTGCAGTTTTATTTTTATGTAAGTTGTCCTAAGTGTTTCTAGTAGAAAAAATATAAAAAGCTATACTGTAGAGAACAAGGCTCTATACAGTTATGTTTGCAAGCAGCATATTATGCTTTGTTGAAACTGGTGGAGCAAAACCTCTACCCCTGTTGGGTTGTAAGTGGAATAATAACTTTCTTGGATTAGAAAATATTAACAAATCTAGTCATAAAAATTATAAAAAATATTCTTTTCAAAATAGTAAAATAGATAAAAATAGTAGATATAAGATAGATAGCCAGACTGGAATATGAGTGATTCTCGAAGAGTTGATAGTAGGGGCAGAATTTAAAAGAAATTGTGGTAATTATAGTGGCGGAACTCAGACCAAAAAAAAAAAAATAGATACCTACCAGTGCCGCGCTTCCACAGTGACGCCGGGTATAGGAAGCTCACCAGGGATTTACTTTCTAGGGTACACCTGGTTCCCCGACTACTGGTACCTGAGACGGCGTGCGTTTTTAGTCGGTTCGAGTCCGACATTGCCACCGGTAAGTGGTATCCGAGGGGATTTCCGCACAGTAAAAAAAAAGGGGTATAGGAAGTTGATCGTGTATCAGTCATTGAGTTAAAACAACACATTATATCAATGGTATCAGTACTGTATGATAAAACGGAAAGGGATGGGCGTTGTCAAACGTGAGTAAATAATCGTATGTTTTACTAAAAAATGCCTTCTTGTGTTATAAAGACTTGTAAAAACATTTCTTTAAGTAATAAAAGCAATGTGGGAAAACATTTCACAAGTAAGGAATTAATTTTCTGTTATTTGAGAAAAGTTCTAGTTCGTACTTGGCACACAAAACCTCTCCAGTGTGAACAGTCGAACTAGAGAGCAAAACTCCCGAAAATGTGGGTTATTTGTGGTATGGTGCTGTTGTTTGATTTTAAATTCAAGTTGATTAAGGTTTTTATTTTAATCGATAGTAATGTTAAACATATATGTCACGTGTTTACTGTATTTAATATTGTGTCTAAAATAGTTTTAGTGTATTCTTTCCCCTGTCCCATAAAAATTACTAGCTTTTGCTCACCCCTTTTCTCGCATAAAAGCAAACCGAAACTCAAACTATCATTATTTTTGGATGTTGGATGGTTAAAAATTGTAAAATAGGGATACACAATGCAAAGAACAATTAAATTTCTACAAACAAATAAATATAAAGGTTGTAAGTATTACAAAATTATACCCAAAACTCCAGAAACGGTTGAGGTTAGTTTTCGCCTTATAAAATTACGGTCAAGCGTTTCTTGAGTTTTGAGAAACGTTCTGTAATACGATTGCCGCCATGTACGGAGCGAAAGTTCGTGGAACTCCACCGTCTCCTTCTGCGAGCAAGTTATGCTTGCAAAAGAGATGGCGGAGCGAGACCGGGTGAGGTTTAGAACTCTCCCGGAGCGCCAGGCCCGGCAACGGGCCAGGTACCGCAAACGGAGGTTTCAGAATGATCTCCGTCCTCCATAAGCACAGGCCTGGGGGTGGTAGGTGAGGCCATCTGTCACCCTAGCAGAAGCAGGCCGGGGTGGTGGCGAGACGCGCTTCGAAGCGAGTGCGCCCTTTCGGGAGCACAAAGGGGATATAGGGGTTCTGTAATACGGCCTAAGTAATAGGGGAATCAAACATGATCTCTTTTATGTGTCACCAATATATAAATAAAACTCAAGAAAACGAAGCTCTATAGGTACCTTTTTTTTTTTCCGTGCGGATATCCCCTCGGATACCACCTATCGGTGGCATGTCGGACTCGAACCGACTAAAACCGCACGCCGGCTCGGGTACTAATAGCCGGGGAACCAGGTATACCCTAGAAAAGAAGTCCCTGGTGCAACTCTCTCTATAGGTACCTGATAATTGACTTTGAGATAAAGCAATATTAATTACAAGTAAAAACAAAACAAATACTTACTAAATATTTATACATTAAACACAACTAACAAGATGAGCAGTAGTCATAGGAGACCAATGCCTTGGCAAATATGGGCCAGGCTCGACCGGAGTGATACCACGGCCTCACATAAAACCTGTATTTTCCGTTGCTTGGAGTTTAAACTCGTGAAAGAAACGCGAGGAATTTAACCTCAGGTTTGAAAACTAGGTAAAATTGTTTAATGAAGAATGATTGGTTTTAGTAATTGTAGTTTTTTTTTTATGGAATAGTGTCAAACGAGCTGAAGGTCACCTGATGGAAACCACCCGGTTCAGAGGCCAGTAAAAGGTCCAATAGTTTTAACTTTTCACATCTGGGACTCGCGTGGGCATTGATACCAGTTGTGACAAGCCATAGGTCAGGGCGAAATTGTGAACAGATCTCCCCGCGTGATCGGTCTTGCGTGAGCCAAGCCATGGGATCTGCTGCATCTGTAGCCATTTGGACGTGGTCCATCATGTTGTCAGTTACGGTATCACTGCCTGTAGAGGCACGCATAGACGCGGGGATAGTCGTCGCTCTCTACACGGAGCCACAAAATAAAAAGGTCCCGTCCTTCAAGATTACCGAGGCGGCGAGAAATGATATCATATCTAACGTACCTACACGCACACTCCAGCCATAGCAAAGAAAGAGTATTCCAGGTGGTAGCGTGGGTAGGAGGGGTAGGATGTGTCGAATGGAGATGATATCTGCGTCTCGCTTAAAAACTTCACTGTCTCGAGGTGGTGGTGGACAGCATTAAGGAGTGGACGTAGGAATGTACCTATATATGCGCTTAAACATAATTTCAGGAAAAGGCATTCTACTGAGTATGACAGTGAGTGGTAGCCGCAAAATGAAAGAACAGTAAATGGACAGTGCTACAGGTCCAAATGAAAGACAGTGGCCATGATTGTCCCAGTATATGAAACAAGAGATCCAGATCTATCGTGAAATTTGCTTTCAAATCTGCCTTGCTAGCTCTCGCTCTTCTAAGTATAGTTCGAAAACTATGCCAAGATTTAATTTTAATTGGTAGAAGGTAAATGAAATAGCGACTACTTGCGAAGGAATAAAGTTTCCCCGTTTTTGAAACATTTTTCATTATTGCTCCGCTCCGATTGGCAGTAGCGTGATGATAAATAGCCTTTCACCATAAATGGGCTATCCAACCCTAAATAAAAATTTTAAGCCGAACCAGTACCTACTTCCTGAGGATTCACACGTTTAACCAAACAAATAAACTCTTCAGCTTTATAATATTATTACTTAGATATAGATAAAGAATCGCTAGGCGTGTGTTCGAAAAATGCGAACACAGGTAAAACAAACAAACGAGGGAAATATTATTTCATTTTGACATTAATTAGAAGCACGCGTGCCTCAATGTACAAATGTGTAACAATATCGTTGGGGTTAATAGAAGTGCATTACCCATCAGCATTGCTCATCTTGGTCGGGGGAACATGGACGAACCAGCTGTAACCGGAGCTAGCTGCCGCATGCCGCAAGTCTCCAGCTTCGTCGACGTTAAGATCATTACCGATGACGTCTTGCTTGCTAACTGCCAATGTTTTTGGTTGTGACACTTCGTTGGCAAATAAAGATTTATAAATAGTAATTTGAAAAATAATTAACGTTATGTCGAAAATCCGTAAGTGCTTATACACGTATATAATTTATTCGTTCCACTATCTCAAATGTTTTTTTTTTTATAAAACTATAAACAGTTTCATAAAATAATAGTCTGCTCTTGTGATTCGTTTGAGTTGTGAAGTTGTTTATTTTACAGCGAATACCAAGTTACTGAATTAATATCTTATTCGTGAGGCCCTCTTAACTAGAGATTTAGTCGTTAAGAACAGAAGCAGAACACTATGGTCGCTAAAGCTCTTGGAATAGTGAGCAAAATGTGTAAGCGAGTGCCTGTGTCTAGAGCCCAAAAAGGACATATAACTTTTTTCATATAATTATGTAATTAAAAGTTTTAATCGAATCTAAAGATAAGATTTTACTATGGCACAGTCCAAATAGCTACAGATTCTGTGCTGCAGCAGATCCCATCCGCAGAGATCGTGATACTTGGCGATTTTAGCGCTCACAACGCCGAATGCTTGGCTCACGCAAAACCGATCACGCGGGGAGATCTGTTCATGATTTCGCCCCGACCTACGGCTTGTCACAACTGCTATCAACGCCTACGTGAAGTGGAAAATCATGAGCCCTCACTGCTGGACCTCCTGCTGACCTCTGATCTGAACGGTTACAAAGTGACCGTTGAGGGCCCCACTTGCCTCCTCGAATCATTGGCTAATCAAAAGTACGGTGCCACTCACGCCGCGGCCATATGCTGCAGGCTGTCACCGCGTATGGCACTATATGTTAGCGGACTGGGATAGGATGCGCTCTTTCTTTGCGTCCTACCCATGTAGGTAGGTTTGTTTCCTGTCAGATGATCCCAACTTAGTTGTCGAGTCTGTCACTAGACAACTAATGTAGTACTTCAGGGCATGGAATTATTCGTTCCACCTACATTAATTCCTATCGGTGGCAAAGTCAGATCCAAGCCTTGGTTCGACAGATCCTGCAAAAACGGCGTCCCGCCGAAATCAGGAATATTACCAAGCATTTGGTAATGCAACGACGGTAGGTGATGTAAATACCACCACGCTAAAAAAGCAATACAACTTTGCCTCCAGGTCCCTCAAAAGAGCTATTGTTAGGGCGAAATCAGAGCA